GGGATCCTCCAGCCTCCACTTCCCCAGCACTGGAATTACAGGTGTGTCACCAAACCCAGCCTTTTAAAATTGGTTTGGTGATCGAACACATCCTCATGCTTGTGTGGCAAACCCTTTACTGACTGAGCCATCTGCCTACCCCTCATTTCAGATTTTTATTTTTCAAATTTTTTTGTGTGTTTGTGTGAATGTATGCCATATGTGTGTGGGTGCCCAGAGAGGCCAAAAGAGGGTGTCAGATCCCTTGAAGCTGGATTACAAGAGGTGGAGAACCACCCCATGTGGGTGCTGGGAACCGAACTCAGGTCTTCAGTAAAAAAGAGAAATCACTCTTAATTGCTGTTATCTTTCCAGGCTTTTTCAAAAGTTCAACTTTTAAAAATTGTATTACGTATGTGTATTACATGTGTTCATATGGCGATCAGGGGACAGTTTTCTGGAGCTGGTTCCCTCCCATGAGTTCCAGGGCTAGAACTCAGGGTTGGGCGTGTGTGGGACTGCCTTCACCCACTAAGCCATCTCCTCAAACCCTATCTTACATTTTTGTTGGATACTTCACTACAGGGACTCTGCTCTGAGGAAGATGGCCAAGATTTTAGAATTGAAACTGGCCTCAATGTCGTTTCACCCTTAACTGGCCCTGAGAACACGGGGGTCAGTTTACCTTTCTAAGCCTCAGATCTTCTTTGGGGACAAGAATTCTGTAATCAAGGACTGCGGCGGTTTTAATGAGATAATGTACGCTGCTTCGGCACGGCACTGGCTCAACAGCAGCGACTATAAGTGCTGGTAGCAGATATTGTTGGATGTGTTCACTGCTGCAGGAACACTGCTCCTTCCCCATGATTATACTCTGAGCCACAAGACCCTTCCTGGAGAGGATGATGCCAGGAACAGGGCTATGAACTGCCCATCTAAGCTGATGATTCTGCCTAAGGCTTGCTGGTCATGAGTTTGAGATGAGAAGGAACACTGGGCCAAGCAGTAGTGGCCTGCCATGGACAGACCAGGTCTCTTAGGTAGAACAAGCGAAGGACACTGAGTGACCTTGGATAAGAGATTTAGTGGTGACTGTCTGGGTCTGGTCAAGTCTTGCCTTCAGGCTCTGCCAAGTTCTCCTGGGCATCTTGCCAACAAAGCCACTTTGTAAACCTGAGCCCCAAATGGGAACCTTGGGGGTGATTGATCCTGAATCTAGCCTGGTGTAGAGGAGACGGCCCTATCTCTCCTTTCTTCAATAAGCTTGGAGTGTTCTGGACCCCCAAATAGTGGATAATAGAGTTGACGTTTCCTCTGGCTCTATTGAAAGAAGTGTGTTTGCAAAGTTTTCTAGACTGCTTCGGGGAAAGACCCCAGTTCAATCCTAGGCATCTATAGCCTGTGTTCTCATTCTGGAGCCAGGATAAGGTGCTGGCTTCCTTCATGAAAGGCAGCTCTTCAGACACAGAACGGGCAAAGCTGACATTGCCAGATCTGGAGAGTAGCACTGGTTCAGCATTATGCAGCTGAAGGTTGAGGGTTGGGAAGAGCAAGGCCTGGGCCTTTCACCTTTGACAGGGAGCAAGCAGAGACGAAGCCCCACCCTGCGACCACCCCCAGGTAGCTCCCAGCCTGGCTCCCAAGTCCTGCAGCTTCTTTTCATCACTGTCTAACCACAGGGATGCTCTGTTCTCCCCAGCGTCTCCTGTGTGAGTAGCATCAGGAGTGCAGAGACCTGCTGTCCCACAGCACTTGACACAGAGGCTGCTGTGCAGGCAGTGAAAAGGGCCTCCACACCCTGCTATCTGCAGCTCTGGCCCTTGTGGAACAGACCACCAGGGCTGAGGTTGGAGCAGGCGAGCCAGATCCGCCACCTGCTGGAGAAATTTGGCAGGGGCGGACCCCAATGAACACTGCTGTGCTGGGTTAGGGGCCCTCTGCAGTCCTGCTGATGGTGGGGTGGGATGACTGTCTTTATCTGTATACTTCCTTCACTATGAGCAAGTGGCCTCGTGTTTCTTTGCAGTCACTCCCTGCTGCTTGCCCTCAAAGAATACTTCTGCTGATTGTAAACTTCGAACATGTAGACGTTCACGTTCTGTGCTCTTTTGTACCTGGTATGTTTCTGCTTATGGATTCTTCCTCAGCATTCAGGGTGCATGTCAGCAGCTTATGCCTTGTGATTGTTGTTAGGAATACAACTTGTATGCATCTGGTTACCTGTTGATAGACAGTGGTTGATTCCAGTTTGGGGCTGTTATGAATAAACTCTCATCATTCCTGTGAAAGATGGTGTGAACACACATCTTCATCTCCCTAAACCCCAAGGAGAACGCATGGTTGGCTTTGGAAACACTGTCCGTGAGCCATGGCATCCTCAGTGTTCATGCTTCAGATATGTACAATTCAGTGGGCTTTGGTGTAGTCACAGCTGTCAACCATCGCTATTATTTAGAATGTTTCCACCGCCCAGAGGAATCTAGTACCTTTTAGCCGTCACCCCCAAGCCCCTGCCCCTGGTAAAATACTAACCTGCTTTCTGTCTCTAAAGAGACAGAAAAGGGGCTTCAGGGACTGGAGAGATGACTCAGTGGTTTAGAGCACTTGCTGCTCTTGCATAGGACCTGAGACCAAGTCCCAGCACCCATGATAGGCGGGTCACAAACACCTGCAATTCCAGCTCCTGGGGATCCGATGTCCTCTTATAGCCTCTGTGGGCACCCACACTTATGTACACATACCTACACACATAATTAAAAATTAAATCTTTAGCCGGGTGTGGTGGCACACGCCTTTAATCCCAGCACTCAGGAGGCAGAGGCAGGAGGATCTCTGTGAGTTCAAGGATAGCCTGATCTACATAGTGAGTTCTAGGACAGCTGGGGCTACAGGGAGACCCTGTCTCAAAGACCTCAAATTTTTTTTTCCTATTCTGGACATGTCACACAGAGAAATGCAGTCATACTTAGTGTGCCCTTTGTGACTGGTTTCTTCCCTTGACATGTTTCCAAGGCCACCTATACCAGACACCACCTCATTTTTTAAGCCATACTTTAGTATACCATATACCACATTTTATGGATACATTCATCAGTTTATTACGTGGGTTGCTGAGTACTGCTGCTCTGACCCTCATGTTGTATTTATGTAGCTGTTTTTGGTTCTCTTGAGTACTGAGAACTTCTGGGTTATGTGCTGACCTGCCCCAGCTACCTCTGAACCCAGTGGGGTCAGTGTGTTCTCCCTTGGGCTCCTCACACAGCCTGATGCAGCCCCTCCTGCACCCAGGGCACAGCACCTCCAGGAAGGAATTCCAGGAGCTTGGCCAGCTCACCTCGTTTCCCTCTCAGAGGTCACAGCCTTAATTGATTGCCCCACTGGAAATAGTTGCTTCAATTATTTAGTCATTTTCTGTTGTTTAAAGCAGGAGAGAGTCCAGTTCGGTGGTGTCATGAAAGCTGGGAGCAGAGGACCCCGGCACTTTCAAAACAGTATCATCTGAGAACATTTTCATCTACGGCTGCTCCACTGTCGTTACAGTGACTTGCTTTCTTGAATTTAGTGCATTTGCATGAGCCTTGTTTGGGTTAAATTTAGTCTGGGGAATTTAATCTTAGGCATGCTTGGGTACAAGCTCAGCCTGCTTTCTTCCAGAGCCGATTTTTGTCAGCATCTAATGGTACCATCATGTCCTTTTCCAGTTAGCCCCTTGTCACCCTGGGAAAACTAACTCAAGACTACTAAATTAGGGTTTTGGCTAGGGATTTCTTTCTTCTCTATGAATAAATTGGTGTTCTGGGGGCCACAGAAGAGTGGGCATGTGGGCATGAGTTCTCAAGGACCACTACAAGGCAGGGTAGAGAGACCGGGAGACATGAGAAGGAACAAAGGCCCTCACCCAGGATCTAGTTTGGGTGTCCCACTGCCTGATAGAATGTCAACAGCACAAATGAGATCAAGACTGTCTACAGAGACAATGTTCTCTTTACCGAGGGGTGCCTCAAGGAAGACGTATCACAGGAATGGGTTGAATGGTTCAGGCCAAAATGTTGGAGACTCGAGTTTGGTCGTATCAGCACTGCTCTTGCATCCCTAAACCCGAGCAATGCAACTCACAAGTCACCAATTTCATTTACAAAAGGAAATGAAAAGCAAGCAAATGGGCTCATACACTTTTTAATTTTTAAACTTTGCTTAATCTTTGAGCCTGGTTATAGGTTACTTTCAACAATGCTTAACTTCCAAACCCCTAACATCTCATGTATAGCTATTATACATGTATAGCACTTAGGGTTCAGTTATCTGAATGTCTTGGGGGTATATTCCTCTGTCCTTAGAGCTCAGCCTCTCAGTGCCTGGACCTCTCTCTGTAGCATCTCAGCCTCTTTGTAGTAACTAACCTCCCTCGCCTCACTCAGACTCACGCTGGGATTCTCTGATGGAGTCAAGGGGCCAGCTGTACCGAGTACAGGTCTCTAGGTGCCAGGGGCTCTTCAGGCCACTTTGTAGGGCTGCTGCTGACAGCTTCGTCACCCTCACCACTATCTTCATCACTGTGCCACAGTCACAGACGAGACTCATGGGTTTCTGATAGTCTTCTTACACATGGGGTGAAACATGTTAAGAGTTGACAGCCCTTCTACACATCATTGTAGCCAGGGTCCATTGCTGACCTCCAGGGTCACTCTGGGATGTTGGACAGCTTATAGGCTTGGTCTAATAACAGGCCTACCTTAAAATATCATACAGATTAATTTCACAGCCCTACAAGTCCCCTGCACTCTGCCTCATCATTTCTGCCACCCTCCAACCCTTGGCTGCTCAGCAATTTTCCTTGTCTAGACTGTCTCACCGGTGGCCGCACAACGTGGAGCCCTTTCTGCTTGGCTTCTTTCCCTGGTGATGTGCATTCATGTCCCCCCACAGCCTTCCTTTAAATGCTGGGTAATCACCTCTTGCTCAGTGTTTATGGTTTGTTCATCTACTTGTTTAGACCATGCTGGTCACTTTCAAGTCCTGGTGAGTATGGATAAAACTGCAGACATTTCCCAAGCAGCTTCTGTGTGTGAATTGTGGGTAAATTAAACTTTTCAGAGCTCTTGTTTTAAATGTGTGTGGTTGTGTGTGTGTGTGTATTTTTTGAGACGGGGTGTCACTATAAAGTCCAGGCTGGCCTCAAACTATCAATCTTTCCTGCCTCAGCCTCCGGAACTAAAGGTCTGAGCCACCACATGCAATTTAGCAAGCATAAAACTGAAACATTTGTAAAAGCCGGCCTACAGGAAGACAGATCAAACAAAGACAGCAAAATATTAATTGCAGATTTAGGCAGTGGGTGCAAATTGTACATTTGTTCAGCTTTTCTGTGCTTGAAGTTTTTCGTAAAAAGCAGTGGGGATAAAATTTAAAAGCAAAACAAAAGCCCTCTGTAGCCTGTCTGTAGGATGTGTGACACCCTAACAAGTCATTCAGAAAAGCATGGAGAGGGCCCATACATGGGCCCTGGATCTGCTTTCCAGCCGTAGGACATCACCCAGCCTATAATGACCACAAACTCCGGTGATGCTGCTGGGCCTTGCTGTAACCAGTACCTGAAGCTCTGTGTTTGGTCACTCCATGCAGGGAATGGCTACGCTGCTGGTGGCCAGCACAGGGCTCACATAATACAAGCAAACGGGTTTTCAAACCTGGCCTTCCATTGGGATCATCACACACACAATTTATAATAAGGATTAAATTCAAATAAAGGAGGCCCTTTTGGAACTCAAAGGTGAGGTTTGCCTCTCCATGCTGGGCCTCTGCACTGAGAGATTGCCACAGTGGCCTCCTGGCATGGTCCGCCTTCTGCCACGTGCTCACATATGATTCCACCTTGCAAGGATGAACTTCTCCTCCCAAATCTCCTGCTAGGTTGAACAACCTTTCCTGCCCAGGGACTGACATAAGACCCTGGACTTAAAGAGCCCTCAGTGTTGCTCATGGAGTGAAACGGCATTACCTCCCACATTTTACCCTCTCCTCAAAAGCAGGAGGACCTACCACCACTGGCTGTCAGCCCCAATGGTCCATCAGCAGAATGCCTTCCAGGGATTATCAATGAACCCAGCTGCCCCTCAGCACTTCTGTGATAGGGTGACTTGTGCCCCTAATCCCCAACAGCTCAGACTGTAACCTTACTTGGAAAATAGGGTAATAGTGGATCTAACTGTTAGCATGAAGTCTAATTAGAGTAGACCCTATCTCGCTAGGATTGGTATCCTTAGGAAAAGGGAAATCTGGACACAGACACACACAGAAGGGCCACATGAAAAGGGGGCACAGGGAAGGGGATGTCACCCACCAAAGACCACCAAGGAATGTCAGCAGCTCAGAGAACTGGGAGGATCCTCCTTCACTGCTTTGTAAGAAAGCACCCGGCTGACATCTCCATTGCAGACTCAAGCCCTCAGTGCTGTAAGGAACTGAAAATGCCACTGTCGAAGCGGTCCAGTTTGTAGCACCGTTAGCCCCACTCCCTAGAAACAGTTGCCTCCCACCTTTTCCGTAGGGAGTGTTCCTGTCCAACTAGGCGCTACAGAAATCAGCAGCTCCTTCTCAGGAAACGGGCTGAGCTCAAGAGGTAGGTACCCTGGGTTTGGTAGTGGGGCTATTCAAAGGGAGTACACTGCCCTTGTCCACAGGTGGGCACAGCACAGTCTGCAGAGCTAGCTTCAGGAAGTATCTCTGGGGGCCTGGGCCCTGGTCTCTTCTCAGATGGGGTCCTTTACTTTCCTTGGACCTTTGACAATGCCTTGGTATCACAGGATTCCATGTTGCTCGAGAGAACCTAAAAGGCCTGGTCTACCTGTAACCGCTGTTCATAGGGTGGAGGAATCCCTGAAGATGACAGGCCCGTTTTGTAACAGAGGCACAGGCAGAGTGGAGGGATCCAGGGGAGAGAGGCTCATGCAAGGGACGGATGGGTTCTGTGATTGTCCAAATGTTCTGGGCCACTTCATCACTACCACTGAACTCTGCGCCTAGCTAGGTATTTGTAAAGGACAGGCCTCCAAGTATACCTGCTAACATTTCTGCCAGGAGTGATGGCCCTATAGGTGACCTCAGTTCTAGGAGACCTAGTGCCTTGGTGACTTCAGTTCAAGAATGGCCCAGCCTTCCTGAAAGTCCAGCAGCTGCTGGCAGTAGCAACGATTAGTATTAGACTTAGCATTAGAATTAGATTAGCCTAGCCTAATTCCCAGAGAATGTGTTTGCAACAGGTCAGTGTGGCGGGCTCCCACCCTTGCTGGAAGGAGCCCAAGTCAGAGTGGGATGTGAAGGTAGGTAATGTGCACTGCGCTCTGTCTGATGGCAGAGTGTGGCAGAGTGGGAGTTGGAGCAGAGGCCTGCACTCCCGGGACAGGAGCTGCGTGGTGACGAGGCAGGCCAAGAAATCAGCAGAGAGCACTGGGGCCTCCTCAGTCGGCAGGGCTTCTAGGTTAGAGTAAGAAACAGTCATTTGTGCTTTGTGGAAGCCACTGTCACTTGGGGTGTTTGGGGTGTAGAGGTTCAATTCTGGGCTCTGACACTTCCTACCAGAGGATTCTGATAAGCCTGGGGTGCACCTGTAACTCAGGTTCTCCCATGAGAGAAACAGGAATGGTGAAGGTGGCAGCCTCCCTCTGTGGTAAGAATCCAGCTAGTTAATGCTTCATGGTGTTGGTGCATCTGGAATGACACCTACGATGCTGATCAAGTTAGCAGTCAGGAGAGCTACCAACTGCAGCAGCTGGACCTGGAGAGTGAGCAGACACAGGCCCCAGGACACTATCTCTAGAATGATCCACCTGGGCCCCACGTACACTGTACCCAGAGCTACACTGGAGACCTGCAGAGCAGAGCTGGGCAGAGTGTATACTCCCCGCATAGGGTGATGAGAGTGCAAGGGGACTTCCAGACCAAGGAGCAGGCTCACTTTAAAATAAGTATGACTCTGAGTCAGGCGCAGTGGTGCACACCTTTAGTCCTAGCAATCGGAGGCAGAGGCAGGTGGATCTCTATGAGTTCCAGGCCAGCTTGGGATGCACAGAGACCATGTCTCAAAAACCAACCAAACAAACAAAAAATATGACTCTTCTGTTGGCCAGACTTTACTATAAACAAAAAGGAAGGTTTTTCTATTACCGGCTTCTTGTATTAAACTGTGAGAAATAGTCTTCGTTGGGTTGGCTTGTAGAGGCTTCATCCATTTGCTTTTTCCTAATGACAAAAGGAGATAAAAAGATAGACAATGTGTGGAGCGAAGCCTACAGGCATTTTATCCCCACCCCACAGAACTCACTCCAGCCCTCATGAGCTTAGAACAGGAACCTCCCTCCACTGATCCTCAGTGGTAACACTGCTGTCGGAGGAGGGACTAGTGCCAGTGAGTCTGACTCAGGACACCCATGTGGGTGTGACTGTGCCATGTCAGGTTGTGTCTGGGTGTTCCTTTCAGGCCCCAGTTGAAGCTATGACAGACCCACCTGTGGCCAGAGTTGTGGAGCAGCCTGAGATCCCTTCTGAACCAGCTCAGGTTGGAGGGTTACTCAGCGAGCAGACATTGCACAGCACTAGGTTGCCAGTTTATCTAGCGTGGCTACATCTCGGGACTACTTCTGGGGTTCGGCCTATACCCAGGAGACTCTGGCGTGTCTAAAAGCTGGGGAGCCCTTTGCCTGGAGAGACTGTCGCAGTGAGCTGTCACTGCTCTGACCCAGGGCTCAGCCATGAAGCCTCCTCCAAGAATCCTTCCTCATTCCCCAGGTGACTCCGTACCCCTCAGGCACCTAAGGTATACACAGTGATCTGTGGGTCTGTCCACCTAGTCTGAACATGCTTGAGGTCCCCCATACCAAATGAGGGGTGTCCCTGGCACTCACCGTGAATGCTGCTCCCTGGCCAGGCTGAGGTTGCTGCAGTCCAGGGCCCTGCGTAGGTCCCGCTGCAGGCGCTGTTGCTGCCGCTCATGCAGCAGGCTAGAGTGATCCTTCTGGATCCTGCACCTGTCCCAGTACAGATTGCGCTGGTGCTCTTCCTCCTGGAGCTTCTAGGGGGCAGAAAGGGTGATTCAGCACCTTCCTCCAGGGAACAGGAGCCTCAGGGGTTCATCTGGGAGGCCTGGCCTCTTGCTTTTACAGATGGGGAAACTGAGCTTGGAGGGAAGATGACCCCATCCCGCTTTCATCCCATGGCCCAGTTCCTTCCTGCCCTCAGAGAGCCCTGGTGCCTTCTTACCCCTGAAGGGGCTCAGCTCCCACGGGACATCAGCCAGGCTGAGCACAGGGTGTTCCCTATCCGGTCCTCAGAAGGGTTCCCAGGCTGGCTTAACAGCTAGACACCACCCCAGCAAGCTGTCCAACATGGGGATCACCTGTGGAGACCCAAGCAAGCTGACACCACAGCCTCACCTAAAGATAATAGGGTCACTGTCGGGGGGGGGGGGGGGGGGGGCAGCCTGGTCCCTGAAATTCTGCCTTTCAGTCCTTGATATGTGTGCTCCAGATCCTTCTTTTCAAAGAACTTGCCCCCCAGACAAAACAAAGGGGGCGGGGGGGGGGGGGGGGG